GGCGAGCGCCCCCCCCCTACGGGGAAAATCTCTCCAAAAAAAAAAAAAAAAAGAGTAATTAGAGCCCTGCTCCAGATCCACCTCACAAAAAAAAAAAAAAGAAAGAAAAAGAAAAAAGACTGGAAATGAGCAACTATTTTTGGCCAGCCATGGAATGGTGGTTAAGGCAGTTGGATCTCATGTGGCTGACTGTACGGTTTGTTCAAGTCCCCAATCCGGTGGCTTGACCATACCCTGTGGGAGTTACTTTCTCCTCCCTTATCTCCAGCAAGTACACATGGCCTCTGGCAAAAGAAAAAAATAAATGTACACACACATATTTATATATTGGGTTGTCGGAAAAGTCATGACACATTTTTGCAACATGGCACTAGTTGGTTTTTGGAGGTACTCGAGCCGTTCACATCTATGTTACTGCTGTGTCATTTGACAGCTGACAGTTCTCGTTTCAGTCTAAAAAAATTAAGCAATAGGGTTGAGTTTTGGAGATTTTTCAACGAGTTGAAAATGGAAGACCAGGGCCCAGCAGGTGGTGTGGTGGTTGAGGTGCTGGACACTCCCACATGGCTGACCATGGTTTGAGTTTCCAGACCTGCTGGCTTGCTTTCTCACTTTCTCTCTCTATCTCTCTCTCTGTATATCTCTCTGGTCAAATTAGAAAGTAAATTAATGAATAAAGAAAATTAAACTAAAATTATTTAAAAAAAAAAAAAGAAAATGGAAGACCAAACTGTACTTTAGCCACATTTTACTTCCATAAAAGGAAGAATGCGTGTCGCGCTTGTGAAAAGTTGTGTGAAGTTTACGGTGACAACGCTCTACAAGGATGTCACTGCTGGGGCCAGCGAATGGTGTGCCAGTTACATCACTGCTACACATGACCGACCACGGTTCGAGTCCCAGACCTGGTGGTTTGAAACTCATGCTGGGCATGTGTGCATGTGTCCCCAAGATCCCAGGAGGAGAATGGAAGAGAAAGGACTGTGGAGGGACTGTCCCCCCCCTGGGGGGGGGGGGGTGATTTCTCAGTTTCCCTCTCACTGTCTCTGTGTCTCTTTCTCTCTGGTGAGCACACAGCCCCTAAGCCAAAAACCTCTTTAAAAGAAAGAGAAGAAAGAAAAGAAGGAAGGAAGGAAGGGAAGGAGGGAAGGAGGGAGGAAGGGAAAAGAGAACGTCAGTACCAATGACGGTTCACAAAATTCCATGCTGATGACTTTGAGTTCAACTATGCTCCTTGGTCAGGGAGGCCCACTGAGATTGATGACAACAAGATAAAGGTGCTGATGGCGTCAACCCACATTACACGACACAAAAGATTGCAGAAACATCGAACATCCATCGTTCAAGTGTTCACGACCACCTGGGATACGTAAGGAAGCTTGATATTTGAGCTCCTCACTAACTCCAAGAAGTTCATTTGACAGCATGTAAAAACATCTGCAATATGCTCATTAAATGTGAGAAAAATTATCTTGTTTTAAAATTAGTTAATTTTATTTTTTAATTTTATTTATTTTATTTAGCTTTATTGAATTAATTTGACCAGAGAAGGACACAGCGAGAGAGAGGAAAGTGAGAAAGCAAGACACCAGGTCCAGGAGTCGATCAATGGTCAGCCCTGTGGGAGTCCAGTGCCCTTAACCACCATGCCACCTGCTCGCCCCTATTATTATTATTATTATTACTATTATTAATTTGACTGGAGAGAGAGGGAAAGTGGGATAATAAGATGCCATGCCTGGACTTGAACCATGGTCAACCATGTGGGAGTCTAGCATCTTAACCACCACGCCATATACTGACCCTGAAAACAATCCATTTTTGAAGAATTGATATCTGGTGATGAGAAGTGGATTGTTTACAACATTGGTGCGCAAACGACCATGGCCCCAGCGTAATGATTCACCTCCAACGACATCAAAAGCAGACGTTCATCAGAGGAAGGTTATAATTTAGGTGTAGTGGGATTTTAAAGGTGTCATGTTTTTCAAGCTCCTACCAAGGAACCAAACAATCCGTTCAAGTGTGTACTGTCAGCAATTAGACAGTGTGAACGAATCCATCATTCAGAAACATTCAGAGCTTATTAATCGTAAAATACTTGCGTTCTGTCATAACACAAGGCCACACACAAGTTTGATCACCCATCAAAAACATCTGGCTGGGGAATCAGCAGTTAGCGTAATGGCTATGTCGCTGGACTCCCACGTAGTCGACCGTGGTTCGCGTGCCGGACCCAGTGGCTTAAAACTCATGCCAGGCGCGTGTGCGTGCATGCCCAAGATCCCGAGAGGAGAATGGAGGAGAAGGGATTGCAGCGTGACCATCCCCCCTGGGGGGTGATTTCTCGCTTTCTGTCTCTCTGTCTGTCTGGTGAGCACATGCGCCCTATAGCAAAAACCTCTCCAAAAAAAGAAAAAAAAATTATTAGAGCTTGGATGAGATGTGTTGCCCCACACCCATCATACTTGCCTGACCTTGCACTGTCAGACTTCCACTCATTTCACTCTCTTCGAAACTCCTTATGTCGGGAACCAGCAGTTAGCGTAATGG